TTAATGTTTAACAAGATTTATCACCTCAGGTGTCAGATTTTGTTTCACTGTCACTCTTGAGATGTTGAAAGGTCACACAAAGATTATTTCTCAAAACTGAGCAACACCTACCGTATTTCTAGAATTTTAATAGATTATACACTTCCGTATGCATTGTTACCAATGTTACTGTATTGTTGAGAAATGAGACCGTATTTTCAGAATTGTTTTGTGGTCAAATTGTATTGTCTAGATCACACTTCAGCCTGGATTCTTGCTACTTACACTCCTCCTTCATATGGAAGAAAACCTGTCAGCACCTTTTTCTTCTTCTTTCCTCTTCTGTACTTTACTAATATGGTGGAGTGTATTTAGTAAATCAGAGTAGTCCTTGCAAACTCAGCAAAAAGAAATATGATGGTTACACTAGACGTGATTTGGATGTCAAATTGAACCAGCAGCCAAAGTAGATTTCCTTTAAGTATCTTGCTTTCAGCACTAGATATCAACATATGAGTACATTAACTTAAATATTAAATTACATTTAGTGTTGTTGGCTATCATATCTATCTACTGATATAAAAAGTTGCTTAGCAATTAATGCTAATTACCTACTCAGTTGTATTTGCAGTCCCTTAAGTTCATGAGTGTTAGCTCACGATTTATATTGTACAACTGTAAAAGATAACTGGGAAGAACAACAGAGACTAGTTACAGAGGGACAGTTAAAAAAAGTGATTCTATAGCTCCAATTTTTGAAGTCAGCATAGTCTTGGTTATAGAGTACTAGACATTTCAGAGTATTAGTTGGTTATGCTTCTTCCTGACCTGACTTGACGAAAGCTTGGTGGTGAGTTTTGTTTTGTGGTTTGGGTTGGATTTTTTTTTTCATTTTAACACATTTCCTACTTCCAAATTTTCTCTTAGTTGTTTTATTTATGCCTTCAACTCAGCTTTTGTTTTCCTTTTGTGTAATCGTTTGGAGGCCTGGGCACTATGTATATGGCTTAGGAACAGCTTAACGCAAAGTGTTTGTATATGTATGTTCACCACTGATTGCAGAAGACCAGATCCTATTAGGCTGAAGCATTCAGGGTGCAGGGCCCAAAGTGACAATACTCACAAAATTACAACTAACTGGGGAAAAAGTCAGGCCAGCCAGAGCAGCAGCAAACTTGCATAGCTACTTGCCAAGATGTGAAGCAGAAGACCAACTACCCCAAGTGTATGTGCACCAATATATGCAGTGTGGGGAGCAAACAGAAGGAACTGGAGCTCTGTGCTCAGTCAGAAAATTATGATCTCATAGGAATAACTGAAATATGGTAGTACAACTCATGAGACTGGAGGATCATGATGGATGGCTTTAAGTTGTTTTGAAAGTCAGGAAGGGAAGAAGAGGTGGAGGAGTCATGCTCTATGTTAAGGAGAACTTTGAATATACAGAAGTCAACTACGGTGGTTGTGGGAGCCCTACTGAGTGCCTCTGGGTCAAGATCAGAGGGACTGTCTCCGAGGGGGATGTTACAATAGGCATCTGCTACCAACCTCCAAACCAAATCAGTAAGGTCATAGAATCATAGAATGGCCTAAGCTGGAAGGGACCTTAGAGATCATTTAATCCAGCCTCCCTGCTGCCAGGGACGCCACCTCTCGACTAGATCAGGCAACACATGGGGACCAAACGGGAATTGAACCCCGCGCCCTTAGCGTTGTTAGTGCTATGCTCAACTGACTGAGCTAACCGGTCAATGAAGCCATATTTGAGTCACACAGCATACAGCAGCTCATATGGCATCCGTCAGGTTACTGGAATCTGTAGAGGACTGCTTTCTCACACAAATGCTAGATGTGCTGGCCAGGAATGAGGTGCTGCTGGATTTGCTACTCAAAAACCAAGAAGACCTGCTTTGTAATATCTCAGTTAGTGATGGCCTTGGCTGCAGTGATCACAATAATGTGGAGTTTGGGATCCAGCTCAAAAGTTTCCATAGCAGGAAGTTTCCGTAGGGGAAAAAAGAAGTGCTAGGAGTTTTTTAGGAACCTCCTGGAAGCACAAAACCAGTTCATCACCTTTAAAAGTAAGGAAAGTAGGGAGACCCTGTTGGTTAACTGCAACCTTCTGAGTCTGTTCAAAACCAAAAGAGAAGTGTACCAAAGGTAAAAAGCAGACAAGTACCCATTAAGAACTGCAAGGGCATTGCCACAGTGTGTAGAGATGCAGTTAGAAAAGCAAAAGCTCAGCTCAAATTGAAATGGACTAGAGACATAAAAAACTACAAGAAAGGGCTCTTCGGGTACATAAAGAACAAGCAGAAACAGAAGGAAAATATTGACCCACTGTTAAACAGGTGAGGTGAATTAGTTCCCAATAACGCTGAATAGACAGAGATTCTCTAGATGTACTTCACCTCTATCTTTACCAGCACCGTCGCACTCAAGGTCTTGGAAACAAAAGGCCATGTCAATGCAATACAGACCCCCTGTCAGTGAAGGAGAATTGGTATATGAGCTATAACAGGAGATTGACCTTCACAAATCAATGGGCCCAGATGTTATCTACACAAGGAAATAAGAGAGCTGCATAACCTCATTGTGAGATTGCTTTCTGTAATCTTTGAGAAGTCATGGAGATCAAGGGACATACCAGAAGCCTGGAATAAGGCTAATGTCACCCCCATCTACAAGAAGGGAGGATCCAGGAAATTATAGGCACATCAGTCTTACTTCAATCCCTGGAAAAAGCTATGGAACAAATCCTCCTCAGGGCTATCACAAGTCAAATGAAATACATGATTGGGAAAAGCCCGCATGGATTCACCAGGAACAAATCTTACTTGACAAACATGATCACCTTCCTTGACAAAGTAACCTGTTCTATTGATGTGGATATTGTCTATGTAGATTCTTCAAGGCTTCAGATGCTGTTCCTCAGAGTCTCGTCCTAGAGAAACCGATGTGTTGTAGACAAGTTGTCTGTACAGTGGATGGGAAACTGGCTGACAGGCCACAGCCAGAGGGTTCTGGTAAATAGCTCCTTTTCAAACTGGCAACCTGTCACACATGAGGTCCCCTAGGGATTGATATTGGGCCCAGTGCTCTTTAGTAACATAAAAGTGATCTGGATATGTGTACCCTGTGAAGTTTGCCAGTGATACTAAACTGCATGGGGAAGTGAGGATTTTGGAAGGGAGAGCCACTCTGCAGGAAGACATGGATGGGCTGGAAGAGTGGGCTAACAAGAACCTTATGAAGTTCAGCAAGGACAAGTGTAAAGTCTTTCACCTAGGAAAACATAATCCAGGAGTGCAGCATGGGCTGGGATCTATCTGACTGAGGGGCAGCTCTGTAGAAAGGGACCTAGGTGTCCAGCTGGATGTCAAGCTCGATATGAGTGGATGGTGTGCTGCTGCAGCAAAAAAAGCCAGTAGGATGCTGGATTGCATCAATAAGGGCATCACCAGCAGAGATGAGGAAGTCATTATCCTACTCTACGTAGGACTTGTCAGGCCACACCTGAAATATTATATTCAGTTTTATTTCCTGCTGTACAGAAAAGATGTGGACAGGCTGGAGAGGGAGCAGAAAAAGGTCACAAATCTCATCAAAGGACTGGGAAGTTGCCATACAAGGGGAAAGGCTGAGAGAAGTGGGTTTGCTCAGCCTTTAGGAAAGAAGGCTTTTGGGACAACTTATCTCCAGGATTCAGTATTTAGAAAGTGGCTAAAAGAATATGGAAACTTCTTTTTTACAAGAAGTCAAATGGAAAAGATGAGGGAGAATGGCTACAAGTTACTCCTGAGGAGATTTCACTTGGACACAAGAGGAAAATTTTTCACAAGAACTATCAGCCATTGGAATAATCTCCCCAGGGAAGTGGTGGATTCCTCATGAGTGTGCACTTTCTATATTCAAATCTACAGGGTGCTGGGCCAGCTTATCTAAACTATGCTTTTGCCAAGAAACATTGAAGATGATCCTTGAGGTCACTTCCAACCTGGTATTCTACAATACTATGAGCTTTCTAGAAAAAAACAGAGGCCAGTGGATTTCTTTCTTGGGTTTTTTGGTTGGTTGGTTGGTTTTGGTTTAATTTGTTGTTTACATTTGTGTTGTTGTTTGGTTGTTTTTTTTTTCTCTTGAAATTGAGAAAAAAAAAAGTGAAACATTTATTTTAGGTAAAAGAGCAGTGCAAGTGATAACCCTATTCCAGACAAGACCAGTCTATACTGAAGAAATCATCTACTTTTGATACACTTATTCCCTTTCACATTTCTGGGTTTGGACAGTATCTTCAAACTGGGATAAATCTTGTGAAATGATGATGTGTCTATGGATAGTTGTCTACTGAAGTATAGGCCTAAGACCAAATTTATCTTGTCTATGTATTATACTTGGCTATTAAAGCATGATACAAAGAAACTCAGACAGTAAATATAATAATATTTATCTGATCAAAAATAGCGCATATGTTAGACTTGTTAGTACAATGAATTCCATGGTAAATCCTTATGGTTTTTTTTTTTCAGGAAAAGCAAATGATTGCGTATGATAAAGAAAGTGTCTTCACTTGGTCAGTAGAGATGGCAGGGCATTCATAAATCCAGAATAAAGTTTAGATTTCTCCAGTTAAGCTGAGTGTTATACTGAAAAATGCAAAATAGGCAAAAGGATTCTGAATAAATCTGTATCCTCTTTCATTAGACTGATGTATTAAAATATCCTGTGGTAAGCTGTGTGATGTTCTTGCTTGCTACAGTATGCAGAAATATTTTTGAACTTACTCTTCTGAAAGAGATAGACAGAGAAAAGCAGGATTTCACAGCAGAAAGAAAGGGACTTAATATGATAGCATCAATAATTTCTGCATTAATAGTTAGTGTGTTGCCATAGTTTTCGAACATTTCTCATTTCCAGGAAATGTGTAATTATATCATTGAAGTGCATTGTCAAATTTTAGCACATTGACATTACAAGTAAGTTATTGAACAAAACTAATATTATCTTTCTCAATTTTTAAGATCCAGATTTTAAGGACCTTGGTGTTTTGAAACCATTGCCAGGTTGGTATGTTGTTTGTTGTTGTTTTTTTAAATTTGGAGGCCTTTGCACTCTGCTGTAGAAAATATTTTTGTTTGCTGTTCAGGTTTCATTTTTTTTGGTATTTTGTTATTCAGTTTGTGAGTTTGAGATGGGAGGACCTGAAGGAATTGTGGAATCTGTACAAATTGTCAAAGAAGGAAAAGCTTCTGAAACTGAAGCAGTAGACTGTAAATGGTACATCCGAGCACCACCCCGATCCAAGGTCAGTCTTTCATCCACTTGCTGATTTGCCATTTAATTTAAGAAATTGACTTTTCTAATATGTTTTGTATTTCTTAGTACAGTCAGATCTTGTTTAATAACTTTACAGCTTGAACTTGTAAACTATATTTTCCTTCCACCATGGAAAGGTAATTTGTTACCTCAGCCAAAATAACCTTCTTTCTCTATAAATAATGATGTGGGCAGTGTTAATGTGCTTTTTGTGCCATAAGCAATTTTCTTAAATTCATCTTTAAATTTGCTTATATTTTGCAAGTATCAATGTGTTTTCTTAAGTGGGAGGTAATCTTACCACTTTAATTTTCAATATATTTCAAATACCTAGTAAAGAGACTACTGCTGGCTCCCTAAGGTCATCATTGTTTCTCATCTGTGAACTGTGAAAATGGAACCAAGGTAAATTCACCTTCCTCTGTATGAGACCTCTAGTTCCTTTGGTTTAGAGCCACAGATGAAAAGAGATAGGGTTTTCATTTCTCTTCCACCGCAGACAGCAAGCCATGCATTCATAACAGGAGAGGGCCACAATGAGTTTAACAGTTCTTTTCTTGGATTCTGCTTGAATTCCTCTCTTTTTCACGGCTTATCAGTTATTATATGGATTAATTGTTACTGGCTGCACTACTGTTTCTCCTTTCTTTGCAAGTGAAACAGCTTTGTGCCTCCCACCTACTTTCACTCACTGTGTTAAAAACAACCCCACGCTTTATTTTTTCTAGTTGTCTTTTATTGGACAGAAAAGGTTTTACAAGGTAGAATTTATATATCCACTAATCTCTGCCATCTTGAAATAGATAAAGGTTGGGGTTTTTTTGTATAATCTCAGAGCAGACTGTCCTGGCTATATCTGTTTCAGCATTTGGTATTGAACAAGAAGAATGAAGGATTTCCAGAAGAGAGTCATTAGTACCAGCATTTTTCTGTCGGGAAAGTTTAAGAGAGGAGTTGAATAGTTAGCTCATAAAGACTACAGATAAATTATTTCCAGAATATAATTTAATATTTTATTTATTTTTTTACTTTAGAATAAATTCAGTATTCATAGAGGTTTTCACTTAAGTAGATGAGCCTCCCACTTTGCTGGAGTAAGTAGCTATAGACATGAAATGACTAGACTGATGAATGAGTATTGTATATTAGATATTAGTAGAAAGAAAATAGGTAAACACAAAATTAGAATTGTGCTTATTAGAATTAATGCAACTAAGTAAACCAAAAATTGTACTACAGTCTTGGTTTCAATTTATGCTTGGTTGGTCAGATAATGTTCTTGTGACATTCTTCCTTAATTAAAGCTCTATATGATTCGAAGTCCTTCTAGAAACCCCATATTAACTTACCTGTAGGATTTATCCACATTTCAGTCCTGATGTGAAAATACAAATCACGTAGCTACACAACCATAAACACAGTGTGTAAAAGAGAAGTTGTCACATTACCACTGTTAATAGAGGATTAAAGATTGTTTAGCTTTTTTTGTGAACTTCTATACCTGCATTTAGTTGTGTTGTGTTTCAAAAAGTGTATATGGGCTGAAAAGCATATGGAAGAAAGAGCAATGAAAGAGTTCTAGAAAGCTTGAGAAAACACTGAAAGTTATTTAATGTCACCTAGAAGATTGTGTGAAGGAGCATGATACCGGATTATAAGAGGCTTTTACAATGAGGAAGAAACGCTCTGATGTCCGCATCTATAGCATAAGTCATGGTCCTGCATTCTGAAATAAAGATTCGGGTTTGATACTAAGGAAGAAAATTTCAAACAGCAGGGAGGTGATTAGGAATGATTGGTTAAGGAAGTTTGTTCAGCCAGGGTTAGGCTGGGTCATCACTTGATGAATCTTACTGCTCCCATCTTACAGAGTTCTCTGGGTAGATATATGAAGCAATATAAAAGCATATAAATCAGGGTTTCCTAACATGGAGTTGAAAGCTTTTTCGGCAAGCTAAGAAAGAAAAAGAACAGCTTTCAAGCCTTGATTCATCTTGGAGGGCTAAGTCCAATTTAGCACTTGAACTTAGTGTGGTTTTTGCATTTATATACATATACAAACATATATGTGTATGTGTGCATACATGCATGCGAACATATAGTTATGATATCACCATACTGGGAAAGGTTGAAAAAATTTCAAATTTTAAGGAAGAAATTAGTGGATAAAGTTTTTTAAAGTCATAAATGAAGTAACATTTATGGTAAGACTGTTTATGGACCTGATTCAATTTAACTGGATTCTCTTGTCCGTATTTTACAGCCAGCTTCCTTTGTGCTTATGTAACCTTGAACTAATGACATAATTAGTACAGTAATTCAGTGACATCATTCTAATTTATGACAGCTTGCACCTATGAAAAAAGGCTCTCCTGCTAAGAACAGTAAGAACTCAGCAGATGTCTTTAAGTCCACATGTTCCTGTACTCTGGGCTGCACAGTTTGTTACTGGGAATTATGCCTAAAAGGCCAGAGTTTCTCAGGCAGAGTTTGGGTTGGATCTTTACCTCTTTAGTTTCTCAATTAAACTGTGCCAGAATGTGAGCTGCTTGCAATTTCATTTGGCTTAAGCTCATCCAATCTAAATTGTCTGCAGAAGCAAGTCCTTTCCTTGGTTTCCGACTCCAGATTCAAGCCAAGTCTGAGCTCAATGTATAAGCAATGAGATCAATCAGGGAGTATGAACTTGAGATTGCTAAGCCTGAGCTTCAAACTGACGGTCTGGTTATAACAGTGCTGCTATCCTCAGCAAGCTGGAATGGGACAGAGAACAGCAAATTTCTCACACATCCTTAAGTTGGAGCCATCATTGATTACGCAAAAAATAAAATGCTGAAAATGCAAGCAGGATTGAAACTTTCTGGAAGTGCAGAAGACAGCAGAAGGAGGTTTAAGCATGACTTCAGTCTATAAGCAGACGTGGAGCTTTGTGTTTTACAGTGACCAGTTGCAAAGTATTTCTTGTAATTATCTGAAGTCAGTTCCGACTGAGTAAGATGGCTGTGAATCTGGAGTTCAGAAACACTGGGAGTTCTGCACTTCTTGTAGAAGTTGACTTCAATCAGTAATCAGAGCAAGAATGGAAAAGGAAGAAGAGAGTTGCTGACTGAATGTGCCAGCTCACCCAGAATAGCAAAGAGTTGGAGTAACCTTCCCATCTCAAAATTCTTCACTATAGAACAAGGCCCAGAGGATCAAGTGGATGATCCTGTTGCACTGGGATTTGAAAAACTTCAGAGATATCATTGGCTGCAGCAGGGGATAAGCAAAAAAAAATTCTGTATTTATGAGTAGGAAATAAGAAAATTAAAAGAATTATAGTATTTTTTCACTTTCTGTTAAGGGTGAAATGTTGGAGGACAATATCGATGACAAGCATTTTTCTATACTGGATGTGTCAGCAGAGTTTGACACAGCCCGATAGGAAGATAGAACACGTGATTACACTCAGGTAGTGCTCCCTTTAGTGTAGTTATCATTGTGTCATGCTAGTTCCTTGAGGGGTTTTGTAGAGCGAAAAAACCAGCAGAATTTGACAATAAAATAAGAAAACATTTGCAAAGATGATGTTCTGATGCTGGGAATAAACAATAAGTGGTGCTTTTAGTCAGAAGACCTGGTGAGCTCCAAACTACAGACAGACAAGCATTAATTTGAATTCAATCCAGTGGAAGTCATCTATTCACAAGGAATGAGCAAGAGGTATGTTTAGATTGAGCAGGTAATGAGGCTACCCTCTATATATACACCACAAGAAATAAAAGGAAATTGTAAGCTAGATAGGGAAGATGATGCCTAATTCCCCTGCCCCACCTAAGCATGCAAACAAGATACTTTTCCAGGTAATAGGATGCAAGACCTAACTAAAAGCTTGACAAACTGAAACGATTAATTAACGAGTATCTAGTTTTGACATATTTTTGCAGTATCCTTCAACCTGAGCTGCCTGTGAGCAGTGATATTTGTCTCAAGCAAAGCTGTTGGGGAGCAGCGAGAGGGGGATATGCAGCACTTAGGAGGGTGTCAGGTCAAGGGTGGCCACAGAGCCAGGACATGGGTGAGGAGGAGAGCTGGGCAGGCCCAGCCGTGGTGGCTGGGCTGTGGTGGTGATGGAGCTCGCCCATGAGAACGGGGCCAGCCCCAGCTCAAGGTGGCAGCAGCTTGGCCATATGTGAGGCTGGAGTGGTGGGGCACAAGGCTGGGTGTGGGCCAAAAGTCCAAACGGGATCAAGACACTCGAATATTTGCAAAGGATAGGTATTGCTGTCTGGTAGAGGCTCTAAATCACTTGTCACAGTTTTCATGGTGGACATTGTATCCATGTACCTGACCAACTAGAGAGGCGATGCTGTCAGTTCCAGGTGCCTGACCTCAGATTGAATGTTGTCTGAAGAGAGGCTGGGTTACTGCACACGTGTTTTCTAGACAGTTAGGAGGAAATGTGTAATGAAACAAATTGCAGAGCTGCAACTCTCTGTAAACCAGTCTGACTAAACCAACACTTTTTCTGTTCTTGCATGTGAAGTGGAAACTTGTGCTCTTGGATGAAACCTGCAAGAAAAAAAGTTTCAGCTGTCAGTACGAGCAGACTAACATATCTCTAATCTTGGAGACTTCTTAATCACATAGAAGAGAAGCTTTAAGTAGCACACTAAAATTTAATAGGAGATGTTTGAGTGGTGATTTCTGAAGTGTTATGGACAAATGAAATTTAGAGACTGAAAAACCTTATGGCCAGAGACACTTTTACAGGCTTTGCATGAGCTGTATCTCTGAAGTTTACTAACATATAGATAGTGCAAATAATATTATGAATGAAAAAAAAACAAACAACATGTTTATATGAAGTGGAATAAAGTGTTTAAACAAGTAGAAAACATTGTTTACTTACGTGAAACTGTTAAAAGCACTTATTTGAAACAGTTTTGTTAGATGAAGATGCAAGACAAGCACCTGTGTAGAATCATGCCTGTAGCATTTCTTCTAGCA